AACAACGGGAAGCAGTGGTGTTCCTCTTACACAAAATTAGCAGTCGCATTTGTGTTTTAAGCAAATAATTGTTTATCTAATTTATACTTAATTCATTAAATATGGAGGATTGGATTAAAATAAGAGCCAGGCATAAGGCAGTGACATTAGTCAGTGATACTCCATTGTCTGTGGAAGGGATGAAGCCTACGCCCAGTGAAGATAGAGGATATATTGAAAGAAAACAGAGGATAGAAAGAAAGAAGATAGAGGATGTATTGAAAGAAAACATTTAGGAAATAAAATCGGCAGAAATTAGTGCTTGCTGAGGAGAGTGATGAAGCAAAGAGATTCAATGATTACAATCCTGTTTGCATCTGAAATTCCTGCATTTATAGGGCACGGGGATTTCAGAATAAGAAACAGATACAAAGATGAGGAGTTTAGCTTTGAGCACATTGCATTTGAGATACCTGTGGAAAGTACAAGGAATGAGACCTTGCAAGCAGTCGGTCAGATGGAGTTTGGTAGTCATCAGTTCCTAGATAATAGCCAATACCTTGAAAATGGATGTATTCACTCAGAAAATCTAGAGGATAACCAGTCAGCGATCAATAGAGAAAATCCATGGGAATGCCAGCAGATATGATGTAGCTGAAATAGGACCCAGTGAAGGAAAGTGAAAATTATATCAGAAAAGTTAAAGGCCATCCAAAGAAATAGGGCAAAAGAAGACAATTTCTCAGAAGAAATGGCCAGTCATTTTAAATGTAGCAGAGAACCTTGCTGAAATTAAGACTGAAAAGTGCCCATTGATTGGATTTGGCAATTAGCAATCATCACTGATGATGATATCAAAATAACTAATAAGAGGTAAAGGCGGAAATGAGATAAGGTACAGGAAAGAGTTAACAGAATCCAGAATAAAGCAAATACTGACATCTTCAGAAGTTTTACTATGAATCTCAGGCACTGAGAGAGAAGGAGTAGAACAGGCAAAGGCCAGCAGCATGAATCTGGGAAAAGCTGCAGAGAAAAGGGTTAGGCATAAGCCACGCCCCGGTACAGGAAGGACAAGTGATGCTATGGAACTGTGGCTTGCAGTCGAAGGCTATTTTGAGATTAAAATTCCGGAAATCGTAGTGGCTACAATCTGTGCTGTTAAAAGGTGGGTTCAGACTATGGGCTCAAAAGCCCTGGGGTGAACCAGGGCTTGTAGCACGTTGCCACACAAGAGTCAACTTAGGGCGTCATTGACTAGGTGGCGAGATGCTTGGTCCCCTCGATCTATAAATGGAACTGGGCCCCCTAGCTTTCCCTTTTGACAGTCTAGAGTAAAGCAGAGTGAGGGAGAAGTGGAAATATCTGTAGATCCCCTAACCTACAACATCTGCCCCAGAGGTCAAGGTTCAGCTTCCTCATATCAATGGGTTGATTTAATACAGAAAGCCACAGTTACTCTACCACAAGTATTAGGGGTTTCAAAGATGCTTGCTTGCATGCAATGGTTATAAGAGAACATGAATGTTATGAATGTTCTAATGTGACTTCTCCGCAGTAGATTAGAAAAACAACCCAACAGACCTATCTTAATAAAATGAAGTGCTAATTCATTTATTTGCATAAAAGAACTAGGTATAGTGTGGGGTGAGAGGATTCACCACTGAACAGAGAGGAGAGGCAGATTTTACTGAAATATACTGCTGCAGGGAGCAGTGAGCAACACAGGAAAGGTTTGCTGCACCATGTGGGTCAGCTCCCTGGCTGAGGGTGGAACCCAGGCCACAGGAATGATAGTACTGAGTCTTAACCCCTAGGCCACCAGAGAGGCCTGTATTAATACTTAAAGTCCAACGTATGAGGCTCTGCTGATATGAAGCGCTGTCTGTGAGAGAGATGTGCATTCATCCTCTAGTGTGTGCAAATGTGTGTCTACACTTCTTACCTTGACTCCAGTCCCCCAAGCAGACGCTTGACAGCATCGCTTTCTTTGTAGGTTTCCATTTGACAGTTAAGAGGTAGTTAATTATTTTGTGTTGTCTTTGCCATGCTCAGCATTTCTTCGCTCAGCATTTGCTTAAAAAAAAAAATTGTCAATTTCATTGAGCCCTCAGGAATTCATAAGCCAGCTTTTCAGTAACGCTCTAGGCATAATTTTCATGTTGCTTTACTCAAATGTTATGTGTTTGCTATAGATTATAGTCCAGCAAAATGTGCACCTTGCTGGTCTCCCATGCTGCTTTTGCTTCCTTCATTGCAAGTTTTACCTGGACTGTTTATCTTGCTGTTAACTTAGTCTTTTTTTTTTTTTTTTTGCAGAGTTTGATAGTAGTCAACTGGTATTCATAAAAAGATTATGTATTTCTGCAGTAGGAAAGCATATATATATATTTTTTTTTTCTTGGCCAGGCTCAGGCTGCCAAATGAAGACATTTGAAAGCTAAGCAGTGTGTGTGTGTGTGTGTGTGTGTGTGTGTGTGTGTGTGTGTGTGTGTGTTTG